TCACTCCTTGTTTCTCTTCTGTGTTCAAGTCTATTAAATGTGAAGTGATATTCACTGTCTGTCATCCACACTTGAAATCTTCTTTAATACTAAGGTGTAACTGACCAATAACAACTCAGAGAAAAGTAGAAATATACTCCAACTGGAATCCTATAGTACCATCATCCTCTCACATAGCCTCAGCAGACATGCTTTAAAGCTTATATCTTTCCTTCCCACCATTTTTTGTTTTTATTTTGTTGCTGTTGCTACAGAATTGGAGTCTCATTCTGTCACCCAGACTGGAGAGTCAGTGGTATGATCATGGCTCACCACAGCCTTGACCCCCTGGGCTCAGTCAATCTTTCCACCTCAGCCTTCTAAGTAACTGGGTCTACAGGCATGCACCACCACGCCTAGATAATTTTTTAAACTTTTTTGTAGAAACAAAGTCTTGCTATGTTACCCAACCTGATCTTGAACTCCTGGGCTCAAGCAATCCTCCCCCATCAGTTTCCCAAAGTGCTGAGATTACAGGCATGAGCCACTGCACCTGGTCTCCCACCTGTTTTGACTTCATAATTTTTTTCAATATAATGGTTTGACAGCTATTTTCAAAATAATGGTCTGATAGTTACTACAGTTTAAAAAACGTTGCTAAGAATAATGAAACTCATTCACCATCCTGGAGATACTCATAGTGAGTATTTATTTGTGACCATTAAAAACATCAAAGGGATGGAGTCCTAATATAATTACAGGTGACAAATACTTAAAGGGGATGTTTTGCAAGCAGAACTCTTTCGGGGACCTCTGTAATCCAGTCTCTTAATCAATCTATGTACAATATTTGGCAAGTGGTAAATTCTTTATAAATGTAGATAAAGAAATGCATGAGTTGATTTTTAGGACCACATAATCAAAATAAACTCTTTCTTATGGAGATGTGCCAGAGACTATGGACTAGACCAGCTGCATCATTCAAACAGAAATTAGAACATCAAGAGACAATATGCAAACATGGAACACCAGAGTTGGACAGGAATTTTCTGTGCTCATTGGAAAGTTGGCTCTGGCTGTTGTTTCTCTATTACAGATTTTGGGGTGGAAGCGTGCTCCCACAGGGAAAGCAGCATGCGCTGACATGGAAACTGAATAGAACCTTGGCTAGGCTGGGAGTCATTGCTATTTTAGTCACTTCCAGATGTCTGCTGCTGTAGTTTGAAGGGACAGGGAAAGATGTGTGGAGTGTGACATGCCCACTGGGTGGAGGGGGAGGGGGGATTCTCCTTCTAAGCCTTTCAAGTCGTGTTTAAAGCCACCCCACAATATGCTACTAAGATGGATTGGACAGAGCTTTTTAAAATTTTGCTCTTTAATAGTACTCTTTCATTTATACACTTGATTGCATATATAGCAAATAGGCAAATTGCAGAAACCTTTGGGAAATAATCAGGATTCTGCACCCATCCATCCACCAAAATAGAATTCTCCCCCGCTTAGGTTGTAATCTAATATTTATGAAATGCCAGCCAACAGATGTTGAATGGTGCATATACCAGATGAGTTAGCTGCCCCCAGTAGCTATTGTGCTAACAGAACAAGCTCACCAGATGCTTGTTATATATCTATATTCTCCTTTCATGTTATTTTTGGGGTGTCCTTTAATCCTAATGCTGTCATTATGAATAAAAAATATGTCAGATTGCAATATTTATGGATGTGGAGATGAGGCCCTCTGAAATCTTTTCAAAAGGGATGTCCAGGATCTTTACTAAGAGATTCTGGCACTACTACCAGGGACCAATCCACGAATATAGATCAAAATCCTTGGTTAATTCATAGAGTTTTTTGGGTTTTTTTTTTTTTTTTTTTTGCTTGTTTCTTTCTTTCACTGGGAAGGTATGACACTAGCATGATGCAAGTCTTGGGAGATAAGGAAAGTACAGGAAAAATAGTATAGCACAGTGGTCAGCTCAGTTCAAGTTCAGACTCTGTTATACTGCCTAGCTATGTCAACTTGGACAAGTTACTTGACCTCTCTAAGCCTCAGTTTCTTCATCTGTAAAATAGGTATAGGGATAGTAGCTATGCTGTGAGGTGCGGAGAGATCATGGTAAATAATACTTTCTGCCTTGGCCAACCAGGTTGTGAGCTAACCAGAAATAAAACAAAGGGTAAGACAGGTGGAAGTTAGCATGCCCCCTTTATCATTGTTAAAACTGACATTAAAGAACGTGGCTTCTCTTTGTGGGCTTCACAGCCAGACCTCTCTGCCAGGACAGACCTCTCCATGCAGGGGCAGAGCACAGCATGCATTCTCTCAAAAGCAGGGAGAGATACCCACATTTCTCCATCCATGCTCCACTATCCAATCAGTTTCTCCTCCAGAGCTACGGTGGAGCGTGGCTGGGGGTGTTACTTTTTCCACAGAAAGGAAACATCAAGAGTGGAGGGGAAACGACCATCCCTAGTAGTAGCAACTTCCTAGTGTTCTCATGAGGATTCTTTGAGATGAAGTAAGATGTTTAGCAAGTGCTAAATTCTCAATGATATGTACTCATATTACGGTGACATTATGTATTATGGCAACCATCATCACCATCCATCCGGGCTGTGTCAAGAAAATGGGACAGTGAAAAACAGAAGGGTTGGAAAATAATGTGTTGTTTCATGGTGGAAGGGAGAAACAATTCAGGATATAACCTTTAAACCTAACAAGATGCCAAGTGTCAATACTTACCAGGCTCTGTTATTGTCACCCTGGGACAGAGGGGCCAGCATGAAAGTTTGAGACAAAATAGGAGATTGGATTTAATATAGGTAAAGAGGAAGCAGAGACCTTAACTAGATGAATATGAAACAAGAAGTCATAGAACTGGGAAGCGGGAAATCCTGCCAAATCATGTTTCTTGGAATAAAGGTTTTTGGGTTGACCAACTCATGTCTATTTTGTTTCTTATTTCGAACATGAGCTTAGTCCGCCTGCTCTCCATACTTGAGGCTTCTATGAGTTGTTTAACCCCAGATGTTCTTTTGGGTTATATCCTGCTCAAGGTTCTTCATAGATATGTAACTAATAAGAGATATATACATATAGACATATAGAGATTTATGACATATAATTATAATATGTTTATATAATTACACATACAAGTATATACTTACATAATCATATATATTATATAATTTATTTAGATTTATTATTTATAAATCTTGATATATACTTTATGTTAATATAGATAATAGATTTATTATACAAAAAGGATATTTATTTTGAGGAACTGGCTCACACAGTAACAGAGGCTGAGAAGTCCTACAGTCTGCCGTCTGCAAGCTAGAGACCCAGGAAGGCCAGTGGTAATTAAGTCTGAGTGTGAACAATGAGAACCAGGGAAGTCGATGGTATGAATCCCAAGTTGAGGGCAGGAAGAGATGAGATGAGATGTCCCAGCTCAAGCAGTGAGGTAGGAAAAAAAAGGGGCAAACTTCTCCTCCTCTTTTTGTTTTTCCTCTTTTTGTCCCCAGTGATTAAATAATGCCCATCCCCACTGGGGCAGACAATAGACTTACTGAGTCTACCTATTCAAATGCAAACACCCTCAAAGACACACTCAGAAACAGTATTTAATCTGGAAACCCCATGGCTTACTCAGGTTGACACATAATAAAGTTAACCATCACTGGTTGAATTTATTTATTTTTTTAACTGAAAAGTGCAAATACAGGTCGGCGTGGTGCAGAGAAACTCAGCACTTCAGTATTTACCTACAGTCCTCTCACCCCATCCTGTTTCTGCCTAAGCATACAAACTCCCCTGAGATTTCCTGGAGATTTTATTTCCTGCTAGTTATTATAGAGTACAGTATTAAAAAATAAATTCACTACAATTTTTGAAAGTAATAATTTTTTCAGCTCTCTATTGGCCTTTGCTTTGAGGTAAGCAAGATCTTTGTTTAAAGCAATTTTCTAAGTTACTTCTCTTAATTCTTCCTCTAGGGATTAGCATCCAAGCATTTCTTTCTTTTCCTCTTCCACCCTCCACCCCCCACCAATTCACTTCCCTCCTTCAGTAGTGGGCACCAAAGCCCTTGGGTTGTTATTAATGATGTGAAAGGCAAGTAGTTGGATTTTCTAAGATTCTTTGGTGACTCACCTGATCTCGAGAGGAAGCCCCACATCAGCAAGTTATTTCACAAAGCATAGTGATTTTTAGTTATTGCCAGAGAGAATTCAGAGAGGAGTGGGGAGCGGATATATACTGTAGTGATATGGAAACAATGCTGACAGTGAAAACCAGAGTGAATGTGATAAAGGAAAAAAAAGTGAATATTACACAGGAAGCAGCATCAGAATTTGCCAATATTCCGCATATAAAGAGAAGTTATTCAGATAGCTTTGGGAGATGGGGATTCCAACCCTGGTGGAGAATTTTTAGGAAAAAGAACATAATACATAAATACACATGATTTTTATGGGGGAATGCTATAATGGACTTGATAGAAATTTGTGCAGATTGGTTCCAGTGTCCTCTCACCTGCTCCTTACCTTTGCTAAGTGGGAGCTGAAACAGACCCTGTGGTTTAAGGGGAACTGATCTAATTATGACTCAGGTGACTGGAAATGGAAACTGCCACAGCACTTTAAGGAAGCACATTTCAGATCTCTCTACCCATATTAAGCAAGCTCTTAAAATTGTGAATCTAATGATACCATGAAGTATGTTTTGATGTTTAAATCAATGGGCATTTCATGGTAATGGCTCCACAGCTGAGCATGCCTATGTTTGCTTAAAAATGTTGTCTGTTTAGAAGTCACTGGATTTCGAGTAAAGCAAAAAGCTGCCAATCAATGTGGCAGCTGAAACATTCACTCTACGGAACAAAACAATAGGGCTCATGTCAGATCCATGACCCAAGTTTGAAAATTAATGTCATTTTGTTATTCCCCTTAAGAGTCGACCTTTTCTTTAGAGTTGCTCTTCACAGCATCTGCTAAGTGGCTTTGTTGTTGGATTTTAGGGCTTGGCACAATATTCCGTCCTTTTTTATGGCTATTACGACAATAAACGAACGATTGGATGGATGAATTTCAGGTTGCCGCTCTCCTATTTTCTGGTGGGGATTATGTGCATTGGATACAGCTTTCTGGTTGTCCTCAAAGCGTAAGTTTCATTTGTCTTTTGGGAAGCAAACAATGATTTCTGGAATCAAATGGGGGGATTAATTTGAGAATTGGATATAATTTTATTGCTATTTCATGTCTAGAGGATACAGAATCTGTAAGAAATGAAATGTAGTTTTAATACCGATGCTAATGTTAGACTATTACATCCTCAAAACAAAGGAGTTGAATACAAATTTTTGGGTCATCTCACTGGGTCATATTGACGCTTGCATGAATATCTTGTGTTTAAGCATATTTTTAAAACGTGCCTTTTTGTACTTTAAGGTGTGAATTAATGTCCCCAACAAGACGGGCAAACAGCTGCTGACCCCTCTTTGTGTAAAGAGAGGTTTGCAACTTGCAGAATCAGCTCAATAGGCAGAATCTGCTGTTTTTTGTTCATTTTTTTTTTAAAGCAGAAAATCACTCACCCAAAAAATTTTAGCTGTGTAAGACAGCAAAAAATGGATGACTCCCAATGAGACCATCACAATCAACTGTATAATCATGGTTTGTCTTGGAACAAGATTTATTAGAGTATGGGGAAGAATTGCACTGGAGAACCGATAATACTGCAGTTCATTTTCCCCCTGCTTGAAATATATTTATAATACCACTTAAAGATACTGCAGAAATCTAGCACAGTTATTTAGGGCTATGATAAAACGACCCTTTAGCTAATTTTCTGAACCAGTTTAAAAGAAGAGTTGAAACATCTCAAGTAAGGTTGGCATTCTTTTATTGACTATGCACAAGGTTAATCAGCCTTTTGCCTCATTGTGGGAGGTTCTCTGCCTGAGAGTCTCAGGGGAAAAAAGTACACAGTGACCCTAAATCAGCTTTCTGGAGCAGTCTGTGGTATGCTTTGTGTCCTAAATCTGCCCCACTTTCTGGTGCCTCCAGAGAAAACTGTCATAGTTAGTTTTTACATTCTTTCAGGACTTGAAAAAAGCCTTATTAGAAACCCTGTGTCCAAGATTTCTCAATCTGTCCAAGTATAACCAGAGACCTCAAATATACGTTAACTGTCCATTGGATAAAGAACTACCACATTCTAAAAATCTAAGATATTTTTCAGTCTATTGACTAGATTGCCTTGGTTAGACTAACGTCAGAGGTACCATTTATATTACTGAAGCCTCACAATATCACTCCTGTGTTGGTCCTTGAGTCTCTATGGTCACTGGGGAAGAATTTTTTTTCATGTCCAATTACTCAGGTTTCTTCAGGGACTCTGTGGAGGCTGTGTACCCATTGGGTTCTTAAGCCATTCCACTTAGGTTCAACTCCCAACCCCATCATGTATGAATTTATACAGCCACTGACCAATTAATTGCTCATCTGCTCTGTTCTCCTGTTTACCATCTATAGTGGATGTACTAGAGGTGTAATAGTTTGAGAATTAAATGAGTTAATACACACAAAGCACCTAGAACATGCCTGGCATGTGGAAAGAGTTTAACAGATGTTGACCATTTTATTAGGATTATAATTTATAGATTTTTTTTCTTCTTCTTTTTTTTGAGTTGGAGTCTTGCTCTTGTCACCCAGGCTGGAGTGCAGTGGCACACTCATGGCCACGCAGCCTCGACCTACTAGGCTTAGGCAATCCTTCCACCTTAACCTTCCAAGTAGCTGGAACTACAGACACATGTCAATTTATAGACTTTTTGAAGAAACAAATCAACCCACCATGGTAGGAGTTGAGGCTACATTATAGTCCCCAAAATAGGGCAGTCACATATGATTATGCAGTTGTTCATTAATAGCTTTATATACTTAATGAAGCAATTTTATGGTAGATAAATTTAAAGTATCAAGATTAACATTCGTGCAAGGCAAGCCATATATATAACTGTAAAACTTTTAGTAGCCACATTAAAAAAACAAACAAGTACCATTTATTTTAATAATATATTTGATTTAACCCAATATATCAAAAGCATTAACATTTTAATATATAATCAACATAAAATTGTCATTGAGATATTCTCTGGCTTTTCTGGACTGACTCTTTGGAATCTGGTATGTATTTTGTGCCAGTCACATTTCAAGTACTCAGTAACTACATGTTGCCGGTGGCTACCATATTGGGTAGAATAGCTCTAGAGGAAGTAGCAGTTTTTTGAATTTACTCAAAGATGCCGTTTAGAATAGCTGCAAGGACTCACTCCACATTTTCCCTCACAAAGTCATTCATGTTATGTTAACTAAAACAGTGTGGTCTTAGCCCCTCCTGTTGGCATGGATCTTTGGTTGCCCCTTACCTGACTGGCAAGTGGTTTAAGTTCATTGACCTAGATAGCAAGACAATTCCAAAGCAACACATAACCCTACCCCACCTCCTCCTGCCCTGGGGACAACACTTGATAGAAAAAGAATTAATGAGATATAAATAATTGCACAGAATCATTTGTCAAATCTTCCACATTCATCCCAATCAAATATACTCTTGGAATAGATGAGTGGATTTATGAGATGCATTACTCAAATTGAATAGAAGAAAATCTGAGATCTAAAATCAACTAGGCTACATATGGACTTTTCCATTTTGCCCACACTGTTTGCCTTAGCACACTCATCCACAAAATGAGGGTGACTATATATTTTTAATTACTTAATAGGGAAACTGGAAGATAAAATGAGATAAAAACTGAAGAAAATACTTTGAGGTTTTTAGAAAGAATGACTAACTTTGTTGGCCCAGGACTCTCCTGGTTTTACAACTGAAAACCTTCATTTGAGAACCTCTCAGTCCCTAACAAACTGGGATAATTGGTCACCTTAATTTTAAGCTCTTTCCCCTTTCCTTCCCTCCCTCACTTCCTTCCTCCCTTGCTTCCTTCCTTTTCTTTCCAGGTCAGTGAATATTTCTAACCACAACAGAAGCGTAGACATCTTCATATTAAATATAGTTATACAAGTATTAAAAGCAAATTAACATAAAGTAAAATTATACAACATAGAAGCCGTCAGCTTCTTTATACATTGTCCTTACTGGTTTGAAGTTTTTTATTGCAAACAAAGGTGGTTTGATATCAAGCCCCAACTGGGTTTCACTGGTATATTTTATGGTAGCTAAACTACTGGAAATAGGCAAATCAGTTAGAGAATGCATGCCTTAATGGTAAACTCCTCGTTATTTTATCCTAACAAACTTTCCCTGTTGCAGGATGTCTTAGTCCATTTGTGTTGCTATAAAGGAATATCTGAGGCTGGGTAATTTATTAAGAAAATAAGTTTGTTTGCCTCATGGTTCTGTAGGCTGTACAAGAAGCATCGTGCTGGCATCTGTGTTGGGAAAGGTCCTCAGGTTGCTTCCACTGTTGGAGGAAGGCAAAGGAGAGCCTGCATGTGCAGAGATCACATGTCAAGAGGGGAAGCAAGAGAAAGGGGGTAGGGGAGGTACCAGGCTCTTTTTAACAATCAGCTCTCATGGGAGCTAATAGAGTGAGAATTCATTCACTACCATCACCCACAGGAGACAACATCCACCCCTCCCCCACAGGAGACATTTCTATTCAAGAAGGATCTTCCCCATGACCCAAATACCTCTCATTAGGCCAAACTTCCAACATTGGAATCAAATTTGTACATGAGGATTGTGGGGAAAACATTCAAACCATAGCACTGGGTTTTCCTAGGATTAGATGCACTTCTTCTGTTAATGATCCTGACCATAATAATGCTTATAAAATAAGTTAAAAATATTCTTGAATACTTAAGTCATGTGTGCCATATATAACCTTCAAATGATATTAAAATTTTTTTCTGGATGTCATATATATATACACACACACACACTCATATATAATATGTGCAATAAAAATACATATATTGTAAACCAGCCTCAACACATGCAGATAAATAATTTTAAATTTATCAAAATGGCAATATATTCATCCATATTTCTGGGTCTGTGACAATAATTGAAATTTACAGACATAATAATAATTATTAACTTTTGCTGGCCATATATCATGCATCAGTTTAAATTACATTACCTTTAATCCTTAAACACTGCAAATTTGGTATTAGTTTTATCATTTTACATACAATGAAATAAAACTCAGAGATACAAAATAACCTATAATGTCATTTGATCATAGGACCTATTTTAACCTAGATTTTTCTAGTTCCAAATGTATCTTCTACCCACCACACCTTGCTGCCCCTCTGTATTATGCTTCTCCTTACACAGGCCAGTTTGTTCCTCTCATCAGTCTTGTATAATGGATTGAGAAGGTATTAATTATTCCTATTGAATAAATGAAGAAATTGAGGCTCCGTAGAGTCTGATGATTTAACTAAACTCAAACAATCAGAAAACAGCAGAACTGAGCTTTAGACATCATCCTCTAATTCTAGCACTTAATGTTTCTTAATTTCTGATGTGGATTCATCTCTGCTGCTGATGATACGGATTTGTCTCTAGCTTGTTCTGGGTAGCCCTTTTAATTTTTAAGATTTTATATTAAAATTGTTTTTTGTTTATTGTCAAATCTCTTGGAGGTTTATGGCCTTGATAGGACTCCTGTGATCAAAAATTAAAAAAAAAAAAAATTAAGCCTATGAAAACCAAGTTTTTGTCCTACAAGTCCCTTGTGTATTCTAAAATTACATTAAAATCACGGCCAACCTCACACACCATTTCTAAATCAGCGAAACTTTATTTTCACCCTTCTACCTAGATTGTCAGTGTCTTTATCCATTTTCTTTTCACTTCTTGGATACATGTTCACCCAGATGGCTGTGACCTACCTGATACTCTGCCTAAACATCTTCCATATCTTTTGACATACTTACATGGGATCTTAGCATCAAAAAAATTTTTTTCTTACCCCCTGCACCCACTTCCATTTTTTTCTTTGTTGGAGGAATTTTCCTTATCTATTTAGTGTAAAGCAATGAGTCCTCGTAGATCCCTGTCTAATATTTTACTTCTCAGAGACACTTTAATTAAAGATGACAATGTTTGATGTCTCCAATGATAGATTTCAGACCCTATGGTAGAATATGGAAGGGTAAGTGGGGCTGGCCTACAGAGCACGATGTCCTGGCAAACCCCATAGATCATACGATTGTCTCCTCTTCCTCAACCTATGGTTGACCTTGTTTTAAAAATGCTTGAAGCAGAAAAGCAGCGAGGTATGAAAGACTTAACGCCACTATGTTCCATTTTATATTACTGTTTTATGAACTGCATCTATAATTATGAAATTCAACATGAAAAATTGCCCTCTTGCAAGCACGGACTAAGGATGGTAGTAGTCCAGTATGAATGGCAACTATTTATAAAGTGAGATGATGTTGTCAAAACCTATCATAATGATAAGGACAGAACTGAACAGCAATAGCATAACAAGCATACATGGTATGCATTTATGATATGTATTGTACCTTGCCAAAGTGATTTATGTTGTATGTATTCATTTGGTGAGGCTCTTTCCAGTGCTAAGCTTACTTCTAGAATGAAAAATTATGCATACATTCATTTAATGACTATTCATGGGGTACCGGATATGGGCAATCTAGGGAGCGATCTAGTGCCTGAACAAAATGAAGCCCTTGCCCTTATGGTGCTCAGCTGGGGAAACAGACAGTAAAAGAAAGGAATGACCAGTTTTTGTGGCCAATAAAGTATACATTTGTATTTTATGTTATGCTCTGCAGTCAAATATTTGCCGCAGTTTCTTCTTTCTCAAGAATTTAATATAGTAATCCCCTGTTATCCTTGGGGAAAATGTTCTAAGGCACCCCCCCCCAGTGGGTGCTTGAAACCAAGAATGGTACTGAACCAAATTGTTATCAATCAGAACATGTTTCTTTTCATTTTCTACCCACACATGTAATGCATTTTCCATATTAACTAAGCATTTATCACACACTGTGGCTGTCATTTTGAAGTTTGAGGTGCGATAGCAAAACTGGCACAGATTTCTTTTTCTTTCTTCGCGAATCTCAGGGATAGAAGACTTGCTCTTACCTCAGATCTTAGCAACCGTTGCATATAATTCTTTTCTTTCCTCATTTGGTTGTGAACTTGCACCTTTTCAATGAAAGAAAGCACTTGGTGGCTTCTCTTTGGCATATCCAAATGATCAGCATCACACTTGTGGTTTGGAGTGATTATTAAGTTAAAAAAAAAAAAGAAAAGAAAAGGGTTACTTGAATGCAAGTACTGTGATACTACAATAGTAGATCTCATAACTAGGTGACTACTAACAATATGTAGACACTATGCATCCACAGCATATATCCATACTAAACAAGGGGATGACTCACAAGCTGGGTAGGACGGAATGGAAAAGTGTGACATTTCATCACGCTACTCAAAATGTCACAATTTAAAACATGAACTGTTTGCTTCTGAAATTTTTCATTTGTATTTTGAACTGTGATTAACCGCAGGTAACTAAATCCATGGATAAGAGGGGATTACTGTACATACTGTTTAATATAGTTCTTATAGTTATTTTTTTGTGTGTAGTGGTCTTATCTTGTCATCATCTAGAAAGTTGTTTCCTATCTTCCTCTGAAGCTCCTTCCTCTTCCTAAATCTCATTTTATCAGAGGCTGTTTTATAGTGACCCTGCTGGCTTAGAAATTCTAGCACTATTTGATTTATTAAAAATCTCCATGAGTGGTTTCTTTTGCCCATGCCAACTGCGGCATGTCTCCATTTCTTTTCTCCCTTCTTTCTCTAATAAACTTTATTTGAAATTTTAAAAAGAAAAAAAACTTCATGTGCATCCATACAATATCCAAATGACTGTAGAGTGTAAATGGAGCTCCAAACATGGGACCCAAGGCAAGAAATTTGGTATCAGAACCTTAGGCAACAATTTAAATGCTATAATTGCCTTTGCCAACTCCCCTGTTAAAGCAAATGCTATATTGAGATTGCTCTTCATAGATACAGCAGTTGAAAACTACAGCCCACTTGCAAAAGGAGAAATTTTCAAAATTTGCATATTTTTAGCTCTATAGATAAAGCACAGAGTTGTCCTTGAAACATTTTATAGCCATCAGGGCCATATCTCAATCAAAATGTGCTGTGAGCAGAAGTTTGTCTTCGGAATTCTTTTTTTTCCCCAGTATTTCACTCCTTTTCATACCATCTCCCACATATTAGATGTTTCCAATTTACTCATTCAACTAAGATTCCCTTCCCTGGGAAGCTACCTTCAGCTATAAAACTTTGCCAGTGATAAAACTCCACTTAAAACTTATCTGTCAAGTGGCCATTTTTACTTGAGACCCTGCCCTTTGTTCAATGACAAAACGTGGATGGATGGTGGTGTATTAATCAAATAAATCATCTTCTCCCTTGGTTAAGCCTTAGGGAACATCTAATTTCAACCCTTTTTGACTTGCAAAAAAAGTCAATTTATATGGTTCAACATACCTCATGGTGTCCTGGCTCGAGCACTGGAGCGAGTCAGAAAACCTGAGCCCTTGACCTATCTCTGTGGTTTACTGCTGGGCAATGTCCAGCAAATTATTTCATGTCTTTGAGCTTCAGCTTCCTCATCTGTAAAAGGGAAAGTAACTACCTTGACCTCTTGCTAAGTTTTTGAGGCGAAAAAGTACAAAAATGCACGTAATTACCACTTGTAAAGGGTAAAGTGGTAGATTGAAGAAAGGAATACTTTTGGTGGTTATTCTTCATAACATATTAGCCTATTTAAAATATATAAGCCTCTATAAGGAGTGGGACTAACACTGGAGAATTTAGGTGATCTTAGAGATGCCTATAGACCTGCAATGTCAGGTTAATGCCATTGTGCTCCTTTCTTCTTTTGGTTCCATATGACTATAATATTTTAAAAACCAAAATTTTATGGGACCATTTCATAATATGTTATATGAAATTTTAATTTGGCTATTTATAGTGACAGGGAAAAAAATAAAGTGGGGTAAGTGGAATAGAGTTCTCTAACCACTAAAATAAACCTGTGAATAAATTGATTTTAAACTCTTCAAGCAAAACAAACAAACAAAAAACTTAAAAAAAAAAAAAAATCACTGCTTAGAATATATGTAACCATTTGGTATTAAGGTTGTATAACAATCTTGATTTTTGTTCAAGAATTGTAGGATAGATCAAAATTTAATGCATTCAGTATAATTGTTCTTTGGGAGAAAATTCTAGGGGGAATTAAAATTTACATAAGAGATTTTTTGATCTGATTTAGTCCAATCAGAGGCTTCAGGTATTTTGAGAACCAACCAAAGTTGTGTGGAACAACGTTAGAGGCTACACATGTTATTCCTCCCTGGGGAGGGACTCAATGGTCTCAGTTAGATTCTTAGAGGGATCCTTATCTTACAAAAGGCTAAGAACCAACTATGTAACATTGATGTCTCAGTTTACCACAACAAATGAAATTACATGGTTTTGTATACCTATTGAATTGTTCAAACTATCAATGCTTAGTAGTCTATTAATCTTGAAGCCCTGGAAAATGAACTATTTAAACATTTAAACAAAAAATTTGAAAATAAACTATTTTCTGGTTGTTAGAACAAACTTATTTTTAAAAATATGCCTTTTAGATATTGCTTTTGCCTCTACTGATCGTGTTTTGTCTCTCCCTATTCGTCTTTCATGTTTGTTCTGGTTGCTGGGTTAAACTCCCTGTTTTTATAGGATGACCAAAAATATTGGTGATGATGGAGGTGGTGATGACAACACCTTCAACTTCAGCTGGAAGGTGTTCACCAGCTGGGACTACCTGATCGGCAATCCTGAGACCGCAGACAACAAATTTAATTCTATCACAATGAACTTTAAGGTAAAAGACATCAACTTCAAAAGCTTGCTATTTCTATTTCTAAGGGTACGATTGGAGGCATTCCATATGGTTTAGCTCGGGAAGTATCTTGACAAATAGGTAAAAGATTAACTTTGAAAAACTGAGGCAGGAGATCGCTTGAGCCCAAGGGTTTGAGATCTGATATCTTGTCACTACACACACACACACACACACACACACACACAAATTAGTAGGGCATGGGGTTGCGGGCCTATAGTCCCAGCTACTTGGTAGAAGGATCTCTCAAGTCCAGGAAATTATGCCACTGCACTCCAGCCTGGGTGATGGAGATCCCAACTTGAAGGAAGGAAGGAAGGAAGGGAGGGAGGGAGGGAGGGAGGGTGGG